ATACATAAAGAGCATTGTAGAAGGCCTGTGGATCACATTTATAGTTCTTATATGCATAAAGAGCATTGTAGAAGGCCTGTGGATCACATTTATAGTTCTTATATACATAAAGAGCATTGTAGAAGGCCTGTGGATCACATTTATAGTTCTTATATACATAAAGTTCATTGTAGAAGGCCTGTGGAACACATTTATAGTTTTTATATACATAAAGAGCATTGTAGAAGGCCTGTGGATCACATTTATAGTTCTTATATACATAAAGTCCATTGTAAAAGGCCTGTGGATCAATTTATAGTTCTTATATACATAAAGTCCATTGTAGAAGGCCTGTGGATCACATTTATAGTTTTTATATACATAAAGTCCATTGTAGAAGGCCTGTGGAACACATTTATAGTTCTTATATACATAAAGAGCATTGTAGAAGGCCTGTGGATCACATTTATAGTTCTTATATACATAAAGTCCATTGTAGAAGGCCTGTGGATCACATTTATAGTTTTTATATACATAAAGAGCATTGTAGAAGGCCCGTGGATCACATTTATAGTACTGTTTTCTTTGTCTTAACCTCAGTAATAAACTGCATATTTTAACCTTCCGGATATGAAGATTGGAGGATTATTTTTTCCTTTGTTGTGAACCGAGGAAATTTGTGGCAATAGCTTTCGAGCAGTCATAGAAAATATAAAAAATATTCCTTACTATACTTTAAAGAGGAATAAGCCCCTTAAAATCTCAAAATTACATGAAGGGAAAGGGGCTTGTATAATATTAGCGATTTTTTGACACGTACTGCGCGTTTAGAAAAGTAAGCTGACACGGTTTCTTGTGCCGATCGCTTAATTATCATAGAAGGTGGCGAGGGTAGTAAAAGATGGGCGAGTCTTCCTCTCCAGACAGACAGAGAGTAACAGGAAGCGTTTCTCTGTTCATGTCAAAAAGAATTCATCAAATTCTCCCTAAGCCCTAACATCATTCTCGCCATCAGTCAAAAAACAGAAATAGACTATTCGCCGAAAGTTGTGTCTTAGAACTAGTCTGACAGTTTAATACAGAATTGCGACCAAACGTGTAAAGTTTGGTTAGCTGAATTAGTTTTTGTTGAAAGTTAACAAGAATATTAAACCAGTTTTATACCAGATTTTATTATAACGGAACACAAACAACAACAATGAAGTTTATTCATTGAAACATAACATCAAAATGTTAGGTTTTTTTGTTTTGCTATTTCAACATAACACAAATGACAATATACATTAAACCAACAAAACAAAACGGACGACAACAGAGTGATTTAAACCAACGAAACAAGACGGACGACAACAGAGTACATTAAACCCACGAAACAAGACGGACGACCACAGAGTACATTAAACCCACGAAACAAGACGGGACGACCACAGAGTACATTAAACCCACGAAACAAGACGGACGACCACAGAGTACACTAAACCAACGAAACAAGACGGACGACCACAGAGTACATTAAACCCATGAAACAAGACGGACGACCACAGAGTACATTAAACCCAACGAAACAAGACGGACGACAACAGAGTACATTAAACCATCGAAACAAGACGGACGACAACAGAGTACAATAAACTCACGAAACAAGACGGACGACCACAGAGTACACTGAACCAACGAAACAAGACGGACGACCACAGAGTACACTGAACCAACGAAACAAGACGGACGACAACAGAGTACAATAAACTCACGAAACAAGACGGACGACCACAGAGTACACTGAACCAACGAAACAAGACGGACGACAACAGAGTACACTGAACCAACGAAACAAGACGGACGACAACAGAGTACATTAAACCCACGAAAAAGACGGACGACAACAGAGTACATTAAACCAACGAAACAGGACGGACGACAACAGAGTACATTAAACCCACGAAAAAAGACGGACGACAACAGAGTACATTGAACTATCGAAACAAGACGGACGACAACAGAGTACAATAAACCAACGAACAAGACGGACGACAACAGAGTACAATAAACCCACGAAAAAAGACGAACGACAACAGAATTTGTTTGTTTGTAGCTAAGCACAAAGCTACACAATGAGCTATCTGTACTATGCCAACCACGGGTATCAAACCAGATGTTTTAACGTTATAAGTCCACAGATTTACCACCGAGCCTCTGGGAGACTGATAAGAAAGTGCACTACCCCCCCCCCCCACTACAAAACAAGACGGCCGACAACATGGTACAATGTAAAACATGA